AGTTGTTGGCAACAGTGTCTTAATAAACTGTTGAGCACATGTTCATATGCTGTCCCTCTGGCTCAGGTCAAAATATACCATTACTTGAAATTTCAACTCACATCCTTTTGTTTTTACATAGCCTGTGCTTTCCACACAGATGATCACAACAAACTCATATAACTATTATATATAGTTTCACCATCTGCTGAGACCTATTGGGTACTTTGTGGTTATATATCTGAAAACAGAGGATGGAGGGTTTTATTTTGGACTCAAAGTGTGAAATTTACCCTTGCATAGAGAGTCAGCATGCTTAAGTTCCACTTAAGCACAAACTGATTCATATTCCTTGGGCAGATGTTCTGCAAAGGGGTTAATTTCACCCTCAAAGCAAAGTGATATGTTGTCCAGCATGTTGCAACAAGGACAATCAGAATAAGGCCTGGAAGGCTGAAAGGGTCTGCAAGATGCGAGTTTATCATTTCTGTGGAGTCTTTTCTTGGAAGAAGTTTTGGAAGCTATTCCAAAGAGGTTGTCAGAACACATAATTGGCAATATTGGCAGAGAGATTACATGTCCTCCCTGGATTAGCTGTCCACCTCTCAAACTGGCTTCTTTATCTCAGGGTTGAAGTATGATGTTCAGGCCATAGCTGCTCTGTGGACAGAAGATTATTTTAGGTTGCCACGCCTATTCCCAGAAGCTGGGAATGGGCAACAGGGAATGGATCACTTGATGATTACCTGTTCTGTTCATTCCCTCTGGGGCACCTGGCATTGGCCACTGTTGGAAGATAGAATACTGGGCTAGATGTACCTTTGGTCTGACCCAGTGTGGCCATTCTTACGTTCTTAAGTGTCAGAAGACACAGATATCCCTTGCCTGGCTGCTAAAATTTGCAGCTTTCCTCTGACAGCTTCTACATGCATTTTCAATATTAAAATCTGCAGCATATTGAAAATTAGGGCACAGTGTAAAATAAACAGCACAAGAGTTACTGTAGTATTGGTACCATGCTGGATCACAGAGGGGGCAATGAGGACTATAGGCTGTAGGGCACCCTGCTGCCTAATTCAGGTCTCCTGTGTCACAGGTTATAGGGCTTTCACAATGGATGATTATCAGGATTATGATTGCCTTCAGATGAACAGGATGCATCTAATCTACAATCAGATGATGTGATCCAAGGAGGAAATTTCTCTGATATGCTTAGCGTGATAGCTATTTTACACCCGAAATTTAGGAATCAGTGAATGCAGAGGATACTTTGTGGACTGATATTATCCCCTGCTGTGTCATTTGAATTTAGAGTAGTGGGCCAGAGGACATACACAAAAATGTAGCTATCCTACTGCATTTGTTGATTTAGGGTGGGATTTTCAAAACTGTCTATGGGTATGTCTGCACAGTGATAAGACCCACAGCACAACTGTGGCTGGCCCAGGCCAGCTGACTTGGGCTGGAGCCCAGGCTATGTGGGTCTCAGAGCCTGGGCTCCAGCCTGAGTATCTTATACTGTAATTTTATAGCCCTGCAGCCCAAGCCCTGAGAGTCCAGGTCAACTGACCCAGGCCAGCCACGTTGAGTCTTTTATTGCAGTGTAGATGTAACCTAGAAGATGACTTAGGATATTTGTATTTCTTAGGCATTTTTGAAAATCTCACCCTTAAACAATACCAGTTGAGGTTCTGGGCATTTTATAGAGATTAATGAATAGCAAAGGCCTTGTCTACACTAGAAAGAGTTATAGTTATATTGGCAAACCCTCCTAGTGGAGGCACAGCTTTTACTGGAAAAATAATTTGTTTGCTGGTATAGTTAATACCAGTTCCCAAAAGGAAAAAAATAGGACTTTTTTGCCAGTATAACTGGATTTATACAACAGCCTTTGCTGCAGTAGCTATAGTAGTTAGGGGTGTGACCATAGCTATGTCAGTATGCAAGCAAAACTTGTAAGTGTAGACCAGGCCTAAGAGAATTAATGACCTACAACAAAGCCTGGGTGTTCTTCAGAAAACTTCTCATTGTACAAAGTGTGTGCGTCTCCAAAACAAAGACTGAGGTGTATGTTGGGGGACAGCAGAAGCAAAAAGCTAGGTGTGTCAATAGTACTACTTACATGGTGTTGAGGTAGGAGCAATTCATACCTCTTCAGTTCAAGGTGATTGCTGTTCCCAGTGGAAGCGGTCAGGCGAGGTCTCCACTACAAATTTCTGGGGGTATAGCAATGCTGGTCAGTAGTGTGATTCCTGACTGACATTGTTATGCCTGCAGAAGTCTGTAGGATGGATGCAGTTATACTGGCAAACTGTGCTTTTTACCCGAATAGTTTGTTTTGCTGTTAAGGGGTGGTTTTACTGTACTGGTACAAAGCCCAGCGTTGTCAGTATAGCTGTGATATGTGTATACACTAGGAGTACTTTGCTGGTAGTGTAGAATCTACTGGTATTCCCATACTGGTAAAAGTGTTCCTACTGTAGGCTTTGAGTTGGTCTACACTTAAAACTTATTCCCACAACAGAAGAGTGCTTCTATTGACATATACTGTGTCTATGCTAGGGGACTATGCTGGCATAGCTGTGTCAACATAGGTGCTATAGTGCAGTAGTTCTCAACCAGGGCCAGCATTAGACTCGCTGAGGCCCAGGGCAGAGCGCCGAAGCCACACCGCACGGGCCCTGGCTTTTATATGCAGAAAACCTGTTATTGTGGCACAAGTGGGCTGTGGAGTTTTTATAGGATGTTGGGGGGGAGGCTTAAAAAGAAAAAGGTTGAGAACCTCTGCTATAGCGTAGATAAAGCCATAATGCGTCAGGTGGGAGAGTTTAGTCTTTGCAGTTGGAGTGAAACCAACTTTATATATAATTTTGTCATCTTTAAGTAAAATTACTGTGGTGTTTTTTCATTTTACAGGAGTGGCATGGTGTTGGCTTATCTAAGTTAGTAAAAGGAATTAAATGTAGGAATTTTGGCCAATGTTAAAGGTTTAGACTGTTGTTTTTGTATCCCTTTACACCAGCATGCTCCTCAGAGGTACAGGTAGTTCTGGGAATGGTAGTACAGTCCCAGAAGATTGGTACAGAAATGTCATTCCTGAAAATTCCTTCTGGAAGCAAATATTTTAGGAGATATTATTATGAGTAAGGGACATTAAAAGGTGGCAAATTCCTTAATGTAAATTATCTGAAGTACCAGTGTGGAACAAGACTGAGAGCTATACATAACTAACATCAGGGAAAAGCTATTTGAGTGAAATAATGCTGGTTTTGTCTTTTTTAAAATCTAATGTGTCTGAAGCTGAAAGTGTAGGATTACTTAAATTGACAACAAATACTATGTTTGGTGGCAGACAAATCTCTGGGATTGTGTCCCCAGATAAAGCTGGGTTCATTTCAGTTCAAATACAAAGAAACTAAGGATAAAAATATGTGATGGTGTAAATCAAGAAATAACAGGAAGAAAAGCTGAAATGTACTCCAAGCAGAATTTATTATAAGTCTATTCAAGAAAAAACACAGAGACCCTTTGCTTATAAGAATTTAAAGTCAATTACCTGAAAGCCAGGTATGAAAAACTCGTATTTTTAAAAATCAGTTACAGAGTAGAAACAGTACTTTTTTAAATATCACAGGCAACAGATATTTGTCTTCCATCATAAATGGCATCAAAGATAGGTATGAATCTCACAGCAAAGCTGCATGCAGATCTAAATTAAAATTGAAAGCCTTTGAAATATAAAGCTTTTGCCATGAAATTTGCAGTAATAAAGGTATGCTGCACAAAGATGTTTCTTTACCTTTGTCTTAATGACATTTTTCTGTAATAAAGTCATATGTACATTTAGATTTGGCTAGTAAAACCATTAATAAAATTTTGCATAAAATGCTATTTTACAGAATTGCACTATCCAGGTGTGCTTATGGTAAGAGGGGCAAGTAAAGAAAAATGCATTGAAGATGTTCTGTATTATGAAAAGGGCAAAGATCAAATGAAGAACTCTGTTTTTTTTTTTTTAATCAACACCAAAATGGTTCTGTACAAAAAAATACAAAATGCTAGAGACTACTTACATAGTGATAAGATCAACCCTTTATCACAAGAAAAATGCAATAGAAGCGTTTACCATCTATAAGGTGCTGAAGAAACCAAATTTGAATTGTTTTGTATAAAGCCACAGTTATTATCATCCTGTCTCGTAATTTCATATATTAGATTTTGCTTACCTTTGCAGAAGGAAAAAGAATGGCGTGTTCAGATATTTGTTTCATTCAGAAAAAAATACTAAAATGTATCTGTTTTAATAGCTGTGACTGTTTTTGTGTGGTACTATATTCCTAAACAAGAATTCAGATTTTGTTAACGTATACATATATATCTAGTGAAATAAAATCAGTACATCTGTGCATATTTTTTCAGGTGGCTATGTTAGAATACAACGTTGCACTAACACTGTTTAGTGTTGTTTTGTAAGCTTCACCTGATAAATAAAAACACTAAACTCTCAAATTTCATGTTGCTGATTATTACAGTAAATTTAGATATAGTCATGTAATGTTAGACATCAGTAGTTCGCTATTGTTGTCTATCTTCATAGCTCATTGTCTCATCATTATCCACAAACTCTCAAGATTTCATGCCTCTTGCACTTCTTTAGTTTTAACAGAAAGCACTATAGCTTATTTGGAAAAAATGAGATTTAACCAATACAATCACACCCATCCAACACACTTGCAGTTCCCCCATTTTAACTACTCTTGCTTGAAATTTTACAATCACTGTGCATATGTTACAACATATAAGTGCAGGCAAAAAAAAAAATCTATATTATAATTGTCATATATCGTAAACCAGTAGAATAGGCAAACTTGTGATACAGCAAAGTGAAAGCAACATAGGTTGCCAAGCTAAAAAGAATGTGGACACAACTTTTTATTTTATTTTTTTAAAGTAAACAGCAACTTTCTCTTTGTACCAGGTGGAAGCTGAGAATCAAAATTTTGCATAGCATTTAATGCTAGTACCACAAACGTCCCAAACAATGCAGATTTTCCCATGGAGAGTCACCTGTGTACCTTCCATCAAGGTTTTCCTATTCCTTTGTTTCTAATGGGGGGGGGGAGGGGACTAAACAGGAAAAAGTACTTAAATGTTGAAACGATTCCTCTTGTTTCATAAAAGCTTAGTTATTCACACACTGTAGTCGTTGCTGTAATACTGCTGGAACGGTTTGGCAGATGAGGATGGGGATGATGATGAACTAGATGACCTTTATTTGAGACTGCAAAGCAAGAAAACAGAAGGCCTGTTGTAGCATGTTTTCTAGCAGCTTTATGCAGATGTGTTGCAGAGATGCAGCATAAATAAGTAGGGGAAAAAATTCACAGCCTCTTGACATAGTTTCCAGGGAAAGTACCAAAGAATTTGGTTCTTCTTGAGGTTCCTGAAAGTAGAAGTAATAAATGAAAGATGACAGTAATAGTAAGTAATCACTATGCATGTGTGGCCTTTAAGTTTTGTTTTCAGTTTATGAAATTTCATTAGCACTACAAATACTAGGACAGGCGAGACTTTTTATGCTTGTAGAAAGCCAAACTGACCCTGTGGATTGCATAGCTTGATGAATTACATTTCCCAGTCATAAACTGTTATCAATTTAAAATATGATGAAGGGAAAAGCAACTACAAGAGGCATAGTTATGTTATTTTATTTCAATTATGTGTATCCAGATTATAATTTGTGATAATTTTAACATATTAAAATATTGACCTAGTACCTTTGAGAATTATTTAACAATATTAATTGTAATGAAATAATCTGGCATAAGGGTGGATGTCATCAGCAGTTCTGTAGCATTTCCAAAATAATTTAGGATTAGCAGGACAGTTAAAGTATTTTTATAGTTTATGTAAGATGTTTGGAGTGATCAAGTCAATGTTCTTTGGTCCCATTTCTGAAACCCTTACAGACAGTAATACTTGCTTACATGAGTAGTTCCATTGAAATCTATGGGATAATTATGTGAGTAAATTCCACTCAGTCTAAGTGAAGGTTGCATGATAGTGCTCTTCATTAAATAAGTGGGAAGCTACCTATTGACTTCAGAGCGCTTTGGATCAGGCCAGTCCCCAAAGACTTCAGCATAATCAGGGTTATTATGAGTGCCAAATTACAATCAATTTGCCACTTAGAACACATCAAATTATACAATTATCTAAATATAAGAAAACTATGAGGGCAGCAAATATTTCTGAAATTAAAAAACAACCAACCAAAATAAAACATACCCACAAACCATCCATCATCACACTTTTCCATCACATCAATGATATCTCCCTCTCTGAGCTCCAGTTCATCTTCGTTCCTAGGAGTATAGTTATATAGAGCCTGAAACCTTAAACAGGACAAATAGTGTGTTTTTAAAAATTAAGTTCTTTTCACCTTTACTTAGCTAGAGGAGCTTGTCAAACATTTAATTAACTTTTAAGGTAACATACTCCACTAAAAACTACAACACTGCATATTGGAAAACAGCAATGCAGGAAACTTTTGCCTGCATAAGTACTTATGGGACTAGGTCCAGAATGGAATACATAGCATAGTTTATGTAAAAGACAATTTATGTGCGATTACTAAATTGTTTACAGTGGGATTCATACAGCTATGCAATCTAACTGAAGATGCTAACGCATAACTCCTCTCAACTCTATTCTGAGAAGGGGAGAGGCTTTTGAGAAAGATAGTGGTGGGGTAGCCATGGCCTAAAGGGGAGGGGAAAAGAGTAAAATGATGTGTTGGAGGGGAGGAAGAGGAAAGTAAGATGCTGGTCCCAATATCTTAGGAGATAAACTAACTTCTCCCACTTCCTCCTGTGGTGCATGTCCCCTTTGCACCTCCTGGATTCTGGGTCTGGCTAGCCATGTACTTGACCCTCACTGTAAGTTAGAGCAGCCTCAGAGGCTGCACAGATAAAATAAAAATAGATGGAAATGGAGAAAGTGGTAGAGAAAAGGAAGGGAAAAAATGAAAAAAGTACTGTATATTCCTGGCAGAAAAGAGAAGCTAAAAGGAAGGCACATACTAGGAATGGGTGGAATATTAGACATTTCACCTGGTTAATTGATTGTTTTACATTTATGAGTGAATTTAGTTGTCATGACTGTGATAGCTTGAATCAGGCAGTATTCTAACTGTGCTAGCTTTCACAAACAGGTTTTTCATTCTACTGCATTTCTACCTTACAGTACTCTCTACTTTTTCAATCCTGGCCTTTCAGTTATGTGATGATGTGTGTGATGGATAAATGGCAAGAGAAATGAGACCACCAAACTCATTTTCTTTATTCCTGTGTTAGAGGTGAAATAATAGTGTATTAAGTTGTTATTATGGCTAGATGGTGCTTATACAACAGTCCTGTATAAGGAGTCACATGTAATTGCAGCAACTGAGGAGCATCCCAGGGATTCCTTCCTTTCTTCTCTATACTCTTCTTTCTCCAGGAAGGGGAACAGTCTCCTATTGGTCCACCCCAGTAGCAGATTACAACAACTCTTACTGCGCCAATTGGCATACTGTGGGGGTGTAGTCAAGATCCCTCCACATTCCACTATGCTTCTTTGCCCATTCCCTGTCCATCTATGCAGGGCTGAGCATACAGCTTACCCCTTTGGTGTACAGTAGAAACGCAGGGATGCTACACAGCAGTATGGGTGTAGGTTTTTATTTTCCCTTATGCTGAGTTATAATCTGGCTCTTAGGTTGGAGAAAGGTTTAGGCACTCATATCATCCAAACAAAATTCCCATTGGCTTCAAGGAATTCCAAACTGGATGATTAATTCTTCTGGTGATGGGGTCTATAAATCAGTGCTGGAAATAGCCAATTAACGGAATAATGATCTGCCTGAACAGATTTAAATGGGAGTTAGGTGCCCTGGCACTTATAAAAACCCTGTAGGTGTCTGTGCGCATCTTTAGGCTTGTAAAAATGTGGCCCTTTGGCACTTCAAGGCTTAAGTCTCATTTCATTGCAAATCAGTGAGACTTAGGCTACCTGGGCCTGATCCAAAGCTCTTTTTGAAGTCAACAGAATAACTCCTATTGACTCCAATTGGCTTTGGATCAGGACCAGAGTGCCCAAGTCACTTTTGAAAACTGAATTTAAGAGCTTAAGTCACTTAGATGCTTTTGAAAATTTGCTCTTTATCTAGTTTTATCACTTGCTCATGCCAAGTTCCCCTGTAAGATGTGATGTTGCATTCTTGTTATCAACTTCATTCACCTCCTACATTTTGCTCACTTTTCTAATCCTGAAGGATTCCTTGACAAACAATAATTTACAGGAGATAATTCAGGGCCAGTGTAGCAGACAAGTTGAATTATTATTAAATCTTTATAACTGGCATTCTGCTCAAGAAGTCTAAAAATGATGGAATCACAAAATGACCATGAACTGGTTTTTAAATTAATTTCCATCTTAACTGTAAAACATGGAGAAATGTAGCAGTTTTTGTGTGTAACTATGCTATAGTACATTTATCTTCATTTGTGAGATAATGTACCTTCATAATTCAGTTTTGCCATCAGGGATTTCCTGGATGTCTTCCAACATTATTTGATAACTGTGTTATCCCATGATTCTACTAGCTAGTTTACTGATTCCTTGGAAGATATGCTGGCTATCGTCCCCTTCTTTAAGTGCCAGTGTTATATCTCTGGTTAAGTAGATAAAAAATATACTTACGGTTCCCCCCCACTGTGTATGTTTTCATGAGCAAACACAGGGCGCTGTGGCTGTAATGAAATGATTTGAAATGTAATAAAGATTTAAAATTGTTTCTAATTTAAGTATAATTTGGATACTGGCATGATACATATTCTTTTTTAAAAGATAAAGAAAAGAGCAAGCACTAGAACATTTACAGGTTTAAAGACTAGATTATTTTGAAGGACATAGTGAAAATTAAAAAAAGAACAGCTTTTAATTTATCCAGTCTAAATCTTTTCATGCTGAAGGAAAAGGTCAGAGTTGAGCCCGATTACTTTTTCAAATATCACTAACCGTGCAGGAATGGAGATACCATGAAACCCAAATGCAAATAATGCCTGTTGTTATACAATCTTTGCCTGAAGTGTGGTCTCAGACAAAACAGGAACCAAAAATCATTCTTAACAGTGAAGTATGAGCATCCATTCATTATGATTTATCTAGACAAACAATATTCCTACATACAGGACACACACACACTTTTAAAAGAATCAAACTAATTATGTCAACATGTAACATTTTTAGTTTAGAAGGGAAAAGTTGGTAGATATTTCCAGTGCAGTGACCTTTTAAGAGTTACCTTCCTTTTTAAATTAGCACCACCCCAATATGTAACAGATGCTTTTAATATTGGAAGTGAAAAACCTTAACTTCCTAAAAAAGGCACACCATGTTATGAACAAATAGAAAGCCATTTGTTTATATCTAGCTCCACATTAGCCTCAGTCCAGAAAAGATGGAGGACATGCTGGTTGAAAGAGGAAAGCAATAATTAGGATTGTGATTATGCTGTCTATTACTGGAGGCTGCCCTCCCCTCACCAAAGAGATTTGCAGTCTGGAAGTACTTTGGAAACCTTAACTGGTCTTTGATACCTAGGTACCAAAGATAACTCACACCATATGTTCTCCTATGAATGATTTAATTAAGAGTTTGTGGACTTTTTTTTGATGTCATGGACCTTATCATATTTGTCCATACTTTTGTCTTCTCTAGGTTTGACTATTCCAGTCCACTTTATTCTAGGTTACTCTTGAAGCTCACTATAAAGCTTCAAATAGGGAAAAACAATGTCTTGTTTACTTGCAGTAATGAAGAAACACGGTATGATGTCATCGCTTCTGTGCTCTGGAACTGCACTGGTTTCTCAACTGCTACTGATGAAATTCAAAAGGTGGTCTCCTTTCTATAAATGGTTACGTATTTAGGGACCTGCCTACCTGAAGTGACTACTCAAGGGGCCAACACAAATTTGTGCTTGTTAAAGATGGTCTTCTAATAAAGATGGACTAGAATGATACACTGTAGTTTTAAGGATACCGTGGGATAGTCTCTAATAACAGGTGATTGCCAAATAAGAGAGTGACATCTTGTCCAGATTTCAGTGTATCTCAAAAAATTGGTAATTTTTAAATGTTTATTCTGATAGGATTGCTACCTCTCAACAGCTACATAAGCATCTGGGGCACTAAGGAATAAAACCATGGGAGACAGTGCCTTCCTGATGACTCTGTAGATGAGGTGGTATCCTCCCTAGCAGAGTGGGCAAACTACATAGCACGAGTTCACTGCTGTCAGTTTCCATATGGGACTATTTCTAATTATAGAATGGGCATAGAACCCCGGCAACCTCCTACACCACGGCCAACTCCTGGAACGGGCCAACGTGCCCCTGCAGCCCCTGGGGGGGGCACATGGCTCCGTGCACTGCCCCTCTCTGCAGGCACCGCCCCCCGCAGCTCCCATTGGCCACAGTTCCCCATTTCTGGCCAATAGGAGCTGCAGAAGCAGTGCTTGCAGGCCGGGGCAGTGCGCGGTGACCTCTGCCCCTCCCTCCCCCAGGGCTGTGGGGGCATGGTGGCCTCTTCCGGGAGCAGCATGGGGCCAGGACAGGCAGGGAGTCTGCCTTAGTGGCAGCCCCGCTGCACCATTGTACTTTTAGCAGCCGGAGATCGTGATTGACTGGGAGAGTTTCCAGGATCGACCAATCGATTGCCATCGATCACTTGGTGACCACTGCTTTATACACTGACAACTGCTCAATCTTAATTCATTACTAATAGTGCTGCCAGAGCTAAGCAAATCAAACTAAAGGGTTAAGAGACAGCCAGCCACACATCTTTAAAAAAAAAGATAAGAACAAAACTACTTCAGTGTTCTCCTCTCACAGAATTTCCTCACAGCCATGTCTAATTTTTCCATCAGATTTCAAAACAAAACAAAACACATGCATCACTAGGTAATTTTAAAGCAAGCTTTTAGGTTAGGTAAAATGATGGTCTGTCACTCTTGAAAGAGTCCCCTTAGCCAGTTTTCAGACTGGAACAGTCCTGTGATTTGACAATTGCATCTATAATAGAAACTGATCCACCGCACGAATATACAAGATTTCAAACAAAATAGTTATTTAAAGGCGGTGGGTTTTTTCCTTTTCTTGAGGAGCCCTCTGTACCGTGGGTGGATAAATACAAATTCTTCCCTCTACAAACACTTTGACCCATTTCAAAGCCCCCACTCCTTGTCTACCATCCTTATAGTTGAAGAAGACTGGACAAACCTCTCTTTGCAGCCCAATTTGGCCCTAGTTGTCATGTGAGTCTAGATAACTTTCTCCTTTGTTGCTAGGCGCATCACTGCCTGAGTATTTTGCAACAAATGGGCAGCTAGCAACACTACATATCAGAGTGGAACACATACAGATTTATACTGAAGCTAACAAGTTAAGCCACATTTTGATTAAGGGTTACTAATTGCACATTATAATCATCACAGTTTTTCATGTAGCTAAAATTACACATAATGTTAATGTTGCACCCAAGGTTATTTTTAAATTAGTGCACACAATTTATTGCAGAGAACATTATAAACATTCTCGATTTCATGTTTATAGAGTTTATGGGCCAGATTTTCAAAGGTATTTAGTTGCCTAAAGACACAGCAGCATCTAGTGGATTTGCAAAAGTCTATCTCCCATAGGAGTTAGGCACTTAGGACTTTTGAAAATCCCACTAGGCACTTAGCTGCATATTTAGTTGTCTAAATATCTTTGAAAAATCTGGCCCTACATGTCTGTCTATCCTTCCTGATATAAATTATGTTTATTTGTGTGATGTGCATAAAACATTCTTAAAGTATCTTTGTTTTTATGTCGTCTAATGGTGAGAAATTCAAATGATAAAACAAAACATATTATCTGACTGTGGTAAACACTCATCAAAATCTGACTGATCAAGCAGAAATGGGAACAGGTATTGGGATTGGATTCAATATGTGCTCCTGGCCTATGCTCTATCTGCCCTTCCGCAAACCCTTGAATGTGATTTGAATACCAGTGGCAGGCTCCATGTACTTCTCTTTTAAACTCCTATTGATGGGTTGTTGTTGATTTGTTTGGGGTTTTTTTTTTTTGCAAACAATAAAGGGTAACATCCTTAAAAACAATATTATAAATGACTCAATACCTTGAACATATGCCAAAAGAGGACGAAATGAGTCAAGCACTGTATAATACTACTCTTGTCTTCCACATGTAATTCCAACACTTCTCTGTTAGATAATGTTGACATGACAGAGTGTAAAATGCATTTGTACTCAAGGCAAGAGATAATTTTACATTCCAAACTTAATTAGAAATAATAGTACTTAGCAAATACATAATACTTTACATAGTCACAGAACTGTAGAAACAATTAATAAAGCATCACAATGCCCTTGCAAGGTAAATAGGGACTTTGATCTCCATTGTTTAGATGCAGAAACACACAGAAAGGCTAGGCAGAGACTAGTCTATGTCAGGTCAGGAGCAGAGCTGGGATGACAACCCAGGAAACCCAGACACTCAGGGCTTGGCTACACTTGCAAGTTGGAGCGCATTAAAGCAGCCCTGGGCGCCCTAACTCATGACCCATCCACGCTGGCAAGTCAGGGTATGTCTATACCGCAGTTAAAAACCTGTGGCTGGCCTGTGTCAGCTGACTCGGGCTTGCAGGGCTTGGGCTAAGGGGCCACTGTTTCATTGCAGTGTAGACTTCTGGGCTCTAGGGCCCTGCAAGGTGGGAGGGTCCCAGAGCTTTGGCTCTAGTCCCAGTCTAGAAGTCTACACTGCAATCAAACAGCCCAACAGCCTGAGCCCTGCAAACCCGAGTCAGCTGGCATGGGCCAACTGCAGGTTTTTAACTGCAGTGCAGACATACCCTCAGGCAATCGAGTGATTGGGGTCACGGATTCCACGGATTCTAGATTCCAATTCCCATGGCTCAGTTTACTAGACCATGTTGCCTCCTGTGTAGGAGTAAAAGATTTAGGACTTTAATTTCAACAGTGCACAATCACAACTGTGTGCATGAACATATACACAACTGCACATCTCATTTGCATGTATGGTTACTGCAACTGGGTCTGCATGTAAGGCATTTTGGCATGCTGATGGCTAATTAGGGCACACATGATAACTGAGCATGCAAATTAGGTGTGCAATTGTGGGTGCCTAGTTCTGGGAATTAAGCCCATAAAGAATACACAACACATACTGCCCAGTATTGCATCCTTTAACTGTTTTTTGCATCCTATCATGCGGAGTAACATAGGACCTAAATCTTCTCTCTACTTTAGTGGGAATAGAATCTATCCCCTAATTTGCTTCCTAACAAGCAATATCACTGCCCCCTACCACCTAATTTCAGGTTTGTCTTTTTGTGATGTCTCTGGTACATACCAGTTCAATGGGAAATAGGGCTGCCAACTGTCTAATTGCACAAACCCAAACACCCTTCCCTACCCCTTCCCCAAGGCCATGCCCCTGCCCCTTCTGAGGCCCTGCCCCCACTCACCCACCCTCACTCACTTTCACCAGGCTGGGGCAGGGGCTTGGGGTGTGAGAGGGGGTGCGGGCTCTGGGAGGGAGTTTGGGTGCGGGAGGGGGCTGGAGTGGGGGTTAGGGTGGGGGGGGTTTCGGCGGTGCTTACCTCAGGGGGTGGCATGTCTGGCAGCAGCTCTGAGGCTCACAGGCGGCTCTGCATTCTGCCGC